GGCACGGAATAGCTTTTGCGGGCTAGCCAGTACGCACTTGAACTCCACTTCGCGAGCCAGTAGCAGCAGCATGAGGTGAGATGCAAGCGCAAGTGACAGGTGAGTGAAGCAGTGGCCGGGACAGCATGAAGGCGCGGGTGAGTGGGCGAGCGAACGGGAATGAGACAATGCAGCGAGTGCAACTGTGTAGACGCAGTGAGTGGATGGAGTGCCAAGGCAGTGAAAAGTCAACAACGGATTGGGGAAGGTGAGACGAGAAACCGAGTGAACCAGCGACGGAATTCTGAGAGCAAGCGAGTGCTTGAGTAGACTCGGTGCGTGCGTCGACTCGACTGGAGAGAGTAGAGAGGGTGAGCCAACAAGAAGTGCACTGCGGGAATCGAGCAATTGGCAAGTTGAGTAAGCGAGTATAGCTCGCAAGCGACTGAGCAATTCATTGAGGGAGTGCATGCCAAAGACGGGCAGGCAAACAAGTGCAGGCAGTGAGCCAGTGCCAAGTTGAGTGTGCGAGCAAAGCTGAGTGACTGAGCAATTTATTGAGAGAGTGCACGCAAAGGCTCACTGAACTACTGCCACGGGCGCGGCTCCGCGAGCTGAAACTGCAGATGCATGAAATTGGGCTGTACAGTACATGGACTGAGACATACGCAGAAGTGCCAGCAGCGAAAAACTGCATGCTGATCAGTGAGTGGACGAAGTGAGACGAGCGAACTGGAATGTTGTAGTGAGTAGAGACAAATGAGCAGTGATTGAATACAGAGAGTGCGCAGTAGATTGACAAGTAACTGCGTGAGTGCACGATCGAGAATGAGGGCCTGAGTTGAGCCAGTGAGCGAGCAAGTGGTTGAAAGAGGGGAGTGGAGAAAGCCAGAAGGTAAAAGTAAGCAAATGTTTGCAGACGCGGTGAAGGAGCGAGTGAAAATGTGAATAAGTAGAGCAATATACCGACATGCGGGGAAGTAACAATGGAGTCGGAGATGAAACGAGAGGCGCAAACAAGTGAATGATCGAAGGATGGCGAAAGCGAGCGCATACAAGCACCGCCACACCGTTTCAAGGAATGCATACCATGACCACGAGTCCAGGAACCTTCACTGCCCCCCAGCCCTCACCCGAAGACTGCCAGTTCAAGGCTTAGCCCAAGCTCAGGAGCTTGAGGTTTGGGGTGCTACACTTCTTTCGTCTTCAGACTGTCCTTCGCACTTGCACAGGCCCATCATCCCAGAGATCGTGCCTTTCGCTGCTGTTCGCCCAGCAGCACCGTCGCGACCCTTCAGTGGTCTCAAGGCCTCGCCGGCACTGATGATCGCAACGGAAAAGCCCCCACAAACCGCCGAGACGCCTATCATGCTCTGGTCGTGGAGCATGTCCTGCAGCACTCTCGAATCACCCCTTGCCACCAGAAAAGGACCACGAGAAAGGCCCTTGCCTGGACGGCCCCATGGAAAGGATTGCTGATTCCCTTCTCCTTCGTGCCAGGGCATCGTCCAGGAATGTTGCAGGACCTCCTCACACTGCCCCTTCTGACCTTTCCCAACAATTCCGCGCCGGTGCAATCTCGGAGCCAGATCTGCCTGGCTTGCACGACAGGTCCTCGCACGTAGTAGAGAACCAGCGCAGGCTTGCAGCTGGCCTCTCTGACAAACGCCGCTGTGCAGACACCTCCGCCGCGCGCGCGCCACGGGTCAAGCTGAACATCTTCGCTGCTACTTACTTTGGTGCCTCGGAGGTTGCGAGCGCCGCTTCCTGGCAGCGCCGCTCAAAAATAGCTGGCTGAGGCAGCATGTATGGCAGCATCACTTCTGGTGAGTTCGGCTCTGCCTCCACTCCACAAGCTGTGCACAGTTCGGCCAAAGCCTCCAAGGCGGAACCAGGCGGCCGTGCTGGCCGAAGTTGACGCACTGCTTATGAAGAGGGACTTTACCAAACCGCGGAGAAGTGGCACTGGTGCGACAGCAGAGAGATCCGGCTCGACGACCTGTGAAAGAAAGTCCCTGCCTTAACCGCAGCTCTCGTCTTGTCGTCTGCTGGCTCCTGGGGTGTGCTCGCGGTCGCAGTCCGGGAACGCTGCGGCATGCTGCAGCTCTCACCAGTTCATGTCAGCATTTCTCTGCATTTCTCTGGCCCTCCACTCTGCAGCACAGGCCTTGCTCTCTGCGATCTCTGCGGGCACTGCCTCGAGTCGCTTTCAGGTTGGAGCGTTTGGCTGGGGCCGACAGGAAACTCCCAGGCGCTCAGGGCAGGACTGGCCACAGCAGCAGCTGAATCAACGGGACCAGGATTCCCGACAAGCGCTCCTTCCGCATCTTCTGCAAGAACTTGGCCAGTGAGCCTCACAGAATTTGCAACTTGCGTCCCTGTGCATCTCTCTGCATGGGATCTCAGAGGAGAGCGGACAGCCAGAACGGCAGCAAGCTGGTCCGGTGGATCCTCGGCATGCAAGCTGCTAGCGCGTGAGCGCTTTACGCCCAACCTGATGAGCTTGGCCTCTTCGGCAGCGCAGGCGCTCTCACTCTCCTCTTCCGCCGCCTCGTGACTATGACCCTACTTGCAGTGCCCGGCGCTGGATGGAGAACGCTAGTCCTGCATAGCGTCGATACGCTCCGGCGATGGCAGGGGCCTCTGGCGCACGCCATGACATGCCGTCACGAGGCAGCACGTACACATCACAGAAACAGCGGAACGACAAGGCAGCCGCCCGTCGTTCTCGACATCAATCATGAGTATCTCCGCAGCACGCAACAACACCACATGACACCACCCAAGACAAGCGCAAGCACGCGCAAAGCATGCGCAAGCATGTCAGATGCCTCCCAGATGCTCTTGGGTCTGTTCACGTACCTGTGGCGCTCTGCCTGGCTCACACAGCTATTGCAGAGCTCACCGACATCCCCACCCAACATACTCGAACCAGACGAGTGCTGCCAGCACGTGCAGTTGGGAGAGCAGCGGCCCGCAGACAATCACCTCTGCTACAGCCTGGCATGCGCAAAACACACTCCAAACGCTGACACGCCGCGGGACTCGCCTGCGTTACTGCAGGCTGCCCAATAGACAGGAGGTCGATCAGGAAGTCCAGTGCGTCCTGAGCAGCTCGAAAATAATATGAAGCGCGAGATCTGGCATCACAAGCCGGAAAGGGAGGCTCCTCCTCCTTGCCCATCGCAGCTTGCAGGGCGCTGCACTTGTTGTGCTGCATGGCTGTTGTCATCTGCGCCTCGGTTCTGTCGACATGCTGCCCGCACACTCCCTCATCGCAGGAACCTCCGATAATGCGTGCCAGGCCGCCCAAGCGCAATGCAGCCTTTCGGCCAGCGTCGGCAGCAATGTGCTGCGCAACACCTGCTGCATGGCACGACCAGCACGACAAATTCGAAGACCGCCAAGCTGCAGCCTCGACGGCTGCACCATGCACCTGGTGTAGGGAGCAGTCGCGCTTGGAGAGCGTGTCAAGTGCGTCCCAGTGGCACGAGGATTCTGTGCTTGCAGGAGGCCTGGCATGCAAACAGGTGCGAAGTACGTCGAAAGCAAGCGGCTCTGCTCAGGCAGCTTCAAACGGAGTTCTGCCGAGGTGCAAAGGCAGACCACTCTCGATCCTGTCTCGGCCATGTCGTAGCCATGGAAGACGTATCTGGCTGCCTGCAACGAAGCTCTCTTCCCACCGACGCACCCTGAATAGAGACGCAGAGATGCCGGCCTCCTCCATGAGGGGCAGCTTCGCCACCTGGCGCGCAGTCAGCACACGATGGACTTTAAGAGCACAGGCAGACAGCCTCAGCGCCGGCTGTGGCCTCGGTGCAGACGGCAAGCTCGAAAGCAAATCATGCCTCGTCGAAGTCTTGAGACATGCCGAGGACCCGGGCATCCAGGAACTGGTCAGCATTCCTCAGACAGCATCCGCGGACGACATATCATTTCTGTTGGGGCCGTCGGCCCTGTGAGTGTCTGACTGTGGGGTCAGCCGGAGAGCCATCCGCTTCAGGGCTGCAATGTAATTGCCCTCAGTGGCAGAAAAGGTCAGCTTTGATGCTTTTTGTTTGGGAGATCCTGGGAACGTGGCGAGCACATCGTGGGAGTTGTCCGGGATCTCCGGCCTCGGCCAGATCAGGGAAATGATCGCCACCGACCGTTCCAGCAAGACCCAGCGCAGCCGAGCCCTGTGCTGCCCCTTTGCCAGCTGGTTCAGCTGATCGAGGAGGTGCGGAAACGACCCCTCCTTCACCTCGACGGCTGCAGGGGGACAGAAAAGAAGGCTGAACACCAAGTGCTCAAATTTCTCGGCCAGCCACATTTACCAGGATCATAGACCTGGGGTTGCAGCAGCGTAAAGGTCCGGGCGTGGTGGCATGCAGCGCTGAAACGGTGACAAATCATATGAGGGGAGCCGATTCACAGGTCCGAGGGGCACCGTGCGGAAGAGAGCCGCCCTGACCCGGCGGAGGGTGCGCTCTGCAAGCAGACCCTCCTGCACAAGGAGGGTCATGGCCTTTGGCACAGATGGCCCGTGATAGAAAACCACTCGGCAACGATCTGTCTTCTCGCAATTCGCAGAACCTCTCTCTCGACGGGAAGCTGGCATACAGTACCAAAATCTGCTGACAAACTCGCACCGGGGCTTGTCGCCTGGCCTTCCGCTCTTGAAAGGCGCGGAAGAAGCCGGTGCCCTTCTCCTCCGAATAGGAGAGCCTGCGAAGACCGGTCGGGGCCGTGGAGAGTATTGGAAGATGATCTGGCAGCCGGGTGGCGCGAAGCCGAGATGCTCGA